TCCCCAGAGACCATCCTCCTTCTCTAAGCTTTCTCCCTCCATCCCTCAAATCCCCAGGACCTGCTGTCTCACCTCAGAGCAGGGAGCAGAAGCCTGTTAGGTAGGCACTATTGACTTCTAGCAGGACATCACTGTATGAAACCTATGCCCCAACACTTCTGCACCAAAACTACCCTGCTCTTTCTTCGCCCACATCGGAGCCTCATTCACCTCAGAGAACAAGACACGGTGGGACAGAATTTGCAGAGCAGAGACAGATGCTAAATGTGCAATGTGCTCAGTAGTTAGTTCACAGGGGTTTTCAGACCAGTCCTTGCATCATTTTGTTACATGCGTACACACAAACACATTACCTCATACACACATGTATCCCCACACATTGTTTTTGAGCGGATCTCTCAGTCGTCTCTGTAGCAATCGAAGGAAGGTCTCCACACAAATGTGGTCTGAAGAAGCTTTCAAGCCCATACACAGCCGGAAGAAACAGGCTTCACATTTGGCTATTAGATTACATCTTTTAAGTGACCTTTCTCAACTACAGCTCTAACTGATCAAATACCTAGATGTTTCACATCTCTGCCACCAGCAGAGAAGCCATTTCTTGTAAAGGAACATACTCCTCTAGGCCAGCAGCCCCTGCAGCTCCCTGGGGTGTAGCTCCAGCCAGGCAGCTGTTTTCTTGCACAAGGTAGGTGGCTGTCTGCAGTTTCACGCAGAAGTGATGCTAGGTCCCATGTCCAAAACAGCAAGTGCCAAGTTTTCAAGGCCAGATTGACAAGCAAGGTCTGCCAGCATCCAGTTGGATCACAGCAAATTAGCAGTGACGAGTTGCACTGAGGATTCAGACTCACAAAATCTTGCACTTGAAAGGGAGCAGCTTAATTTGGCCCCCATAACAAAGTGGATCATTTATGGGGGTTGGGAAAGTGCTTCAAAAGGTGCTTCCAGAGCACTGTGTTTCTCCAGTGTCGATCTCCTCTCCACTCCTGACAGCCCACCCAACAAGACCAGGTAGAGTCAAGTCATACGAAGGTTTCTGCGTGGCTTCCTAGGATTTAAACTTGAAGTAGGCTTCAACTGCAGTGAAGGAAAAAGGCGGTGCATTAGGGCAATACCCTGAACCGGAGTGGTAGGAGGGGAAGGAAAGAGCATCCAGACACTCACTTGCATATTCCTGTGGTGTCATGGGCTGGTTGATGATGCTAGTGAAGGCTGCGATCCAGTCCAGCTGGTCAGTCTCTGTCTCGCAAGTGAAGAGGTATTCCCGGTCAGGGGTGACAATGGTGATGCCGTGGTGCCAAGAGAAGTTGCCCTGTGTCCCCGAAGGCAATCCCTTCTGGATGCTGTAGCCATTCTCTCTGCTGCCCACAAATACCTCACCCTTAGCAAACACATCCTGCACATCAGGATGGAAAGAGCGGGATTTACAGAAGCCCAGAAGAACCAGGGAATAATAGCAGCACACCTAAGGACAGGAGGAGACTGGGGGAGGACATGGGATGTAGCAGCAAAAAGATCTGAAAGTGGTTGGGGGATTCAGAAAAGCAGTGGGGCTATGCTCAAAGGCAGCGGAGGAAAGTGTAGAACTTGAGAGGGCTGAGACAGGAACGACTGGTCCTGTATCTCCCTGTTACCCCCCACGTCACTCTCCTCCCCATCACCACCTTTAGACCACTGCCCTCCCTGTTCCCGTTGTCTGCAGGCAGTGAAACAAGCACAGAAAGCATGAGATGAACTAAGCGGGAGGGAAAGGGGAAGACCTAGAGCCCATTCGAGCGCCTGGGGAACCTGCAAGCCTCCCTCGCTGCAGAGCAAAGATTTGGTTACACTTCGACCCTGCACTGCCGCCTACAGCTGCCAGAGGTCAGATCTCCCCCTCACCAAAGGGTCCTTGAAGTACATGAGCCTGCGGTGATCCAGCGTGAACCAGCGCTTCTTGAAAGCCTCTCTCTGCTGCGAAGAGAAGAGGTGGCATATGTAAGGGGACAGTGCCCTCTGGCGCGAGCAGTGCGAACGGATACCCAAAATTCGTCCCAACCGCTTGAACCAAGCCCCTGCCCTAACAGCAACCTCCTCCACACCCTTTCTGAGCTGAGTGGGGATCATTATCGGGTTTTTCAGTCCCAACTGCTGTCCCCAACTCTTGGACTTCTGTGCAGGACCCCAGAGTTGAGACAGGAGAAGTCTAGACGCTAAATACCTGTAAGGCCACGCACACACAGACACATGCAGAGAGATCTGTTGATCTGGGAGAAAGCAGGGGCTCTGGCTGCTTCATCTACTTTCACATGTGTCCTTCCCCTTCCTTTTATTCTCCCCTCCCTTGGTGCACACACACTCTTCCCACCGGTGTCTAAAGAGTCAGGGGGGAATGGGGAAACAGCAGGAGAAAAACATTGAAGTAGGGAAGGTCAGTGGCTCTCTGGCAGGTCCCTATTACATTTTATTCTTCCACAGCAGCTCACCTTGGGACCAGTCTTCTCCATGTATCCCTCCTTCAGGAAGTTTCTGGTCAGCCGATTTTTAATCTGACAAAAAGACAAGAGTAGCATTCACTTAGCCACATTTCTTTGATGCTCGCTTTTGCCTTTCCTTCTATTCCCCCAAATTCAGCCACTTTTTAAACTGATGTTTCCAGAACTGCCTAGCCAGGAGTCACGTCTGCCTCCAAAGTGCCCAGAAACAGCAGAGTGTGGTTCTTCTCTGGTCACCACAGGCCCTTTTACACACGTGTCTTCATCCCTCCAGCAAAACACTGCAATTTCTACTTCTGTACCCAGGGATCTAATAGTAGCTAATGAGCTCCTTTATCACACAACCGAGTAGCAGCGGGAGACTCAGCACTGCTCTCTAGTGCTGCCTTACCTCATTATCGTTGGCAATGGGAAATGCTACCTTCAGATAATGGAACTGCACTGAGCGAATGGCATTGAACCAGTCAACCACCTCCTGAGAAGGGAAAAGGACAGCACAGAAAGCTTAGCCAGAGCAACAGCGAGCCATCTAAATTCACCCAGCTGCTCTCAACCCCTATGTTAACTACAAACACAGCCAGCTGTCCCTCTCCAGCACCTACAGTACCTCCCTCGCATACACATAGCCAGCCCGGCTGCCCCGTTCCCTGCATTCACAGACAGCACAGCTCCTCCATGCAAACTGACTCAGCCCGTGCTCCCCTGCAGCAAAACTCTCCCACAGACACACAAACACAGAGCCCCCACACTGTTACCTCCAGCAACCCACACACACATCCCATCCTACCCATGCTTCAGACTGTTTAATAGCAGCAGCTTCTTAAATCACCCCAACTACTTTGCAATGGTTGATGCTAAAACCAGATACCTTTCCACTTTCATGGTAGACAAATATATTCCGGGTCTTGTTGTCTTTGAGATAGGTGATTTGCAGGCCATTGGGGTTCCCAATCTTCACTGGCTGGAACGTAGCATTGATGAGATCTATTTTAACATTGATTTTGGGTTCTTTGGCCTGAAAACAGAGTGACATTGGTCATACATGAACAATCTTAGTGGGAAAGGGACCTAAGTTACTGACTTAGTGGGGTAAGATGGCGTCAAAGCATGTTAAAAGTAATTAACTGCCACTTCCAACCAAAACTGTGTTCCAACATTCCCTTCACTGTGTGGCATGCTCAAGTCCAAACAGTGGACCAGCATCTCCAATTTAAATTTAAGCTGTGTCTATTCTGGAAGTGCAGTGAGACACTGAGAGTGCCTCTGACTTTACAGCTGACCCAACCTAGGGGCTAATGGACCTCAAAAGGAAAGATCCCACTCCTGCTCCTCCCTACCCCAAGCCATTCCCTCCCTTGTGACAGTGCACTTGCCCCATTCATTTCAGGGAGATGAACTAGCAGAAGAGTAGCCCTCCTCAAAACAAACCAAACAACAGGTTTTTGCCAACTTGGTTTGCAGTGGGGTGAGGTTGTTTCCAGGAATGGTGCAGGATTACACACCCAGGCAAACAGATAGGGGTGGAGTGAAAGATCAGCCCTTTTATCAGCAGTGAGGGCAGGGAGTAGGGAAGCACAAAGGGAGCACATGGGGAAAATGTCACTCTGACAGTAGGAAGGGGACCCATTTCCTCAGTGACAAATGCTTCTCTGTTACTATCTCTGGCTTGGGATGAGCAAGGCAACCTCAGAAACACGCGTGAGAGACATAAATTTCTCCATGACCCGGCTGCCCCGGGCGGAGCATGCAGTGAGGTGCTGACCACCATACTCACATCCTGCTTGGTGAAATACTTCAGACAACCCTCTCTCTCAGACAAGAGGAACTTGCGGGGTTGGAACTGCCCGTTGTCTCGGGCACGCTTCCAGAGGATCCCTTCCTTCACCCCTAGGAGCAGAAAGGCCACTTTTAAGAGTAAGGCACAGGCACAGCAGGCACCAGAGAGCTGCATGCAGCCTGGGGTCCCAGCCATACCTCTGGGACAAAGCACATGATGGACTATTGCTGAGAACACACACCTGAGAAGGAGAGGTCTCACTTCTGACTTGCAGCTGAAGATGGTGGTGTTCCTGGGTTTGCAGCCCAGCAAACAGCCACCAAAAGGCATTCCCAGATGCTCCCCACCTCCTAGACCAGCTCCCACTACTGCTTCTGACAACATGGGCCATTTCTCCAGTGAACATCAGAGTCCTGGCCCATGCAGACCCTGGAGTGGGACCAGCACTCTTCTCACTCAACTCTGAAGGCCCTTGGGCTCCAGCACCTTGTGTCACAGCTCTGGCAGTGACATTTCAAAGGCAACCGCTGTGGTTGGAGGGGGTGGCAGGCAGCAGGACAGAAATTCCCCGCCACAGAGGTCTGGCTCCACCAAGACAGCAAATGCCTTTGAGCAAAGCCAGCTGGTAATACCAGGCTTGGAAGCAACCTGTGGCAGTGCCAACCTACACCGCTCACAATTTAAATTCCTCCAAAATAATGCCCTCTAAGTACCAGTCAGGTTCTCAGGAGAATGTGTGGGATCTGCAACACTGACACTATGAGCTTTCTCTTAATGGTGCTCAAAAGCTTCCAGCGAAGGCAACGGGCAGGGTATTTTGCTGCTGTGTTCTGCTCTTACCATCAGAATACGGCAGCTGTCTTCCTGGCTCGGTGAACTCTTTGCGTTCGTATTTGGCCCGTATCCACTGCTCTCTCAGCACTCTGGGGACAGAGGTGACAGGTAGCTCAGAAATTAATTAGGGAACCCAGAACTGCCCTTCCCCCTTTTCTTCTGTATGCAGCAACTTACTGGCAGTCATTGTAGTTTGGCTGGTAATAGTAAATAGGGATGTGAGCTTCGTATGTGGCTTTAGACACAGCATTCCCGTGCTTGGCCAGAAACTGCAGAGTTAGACATAGAATTAGTGCCTTCCCTTTGATGCAGACTCACACTGGGCTTTTTCTGTCCTGAGCCACTACAGGGTTAGATGCACATCGAGCTCTAACGGAGAATTCGCTTTCCCATCCATTGCAACATCCCAGCCAAGTCTATCTAGAGAAAGGTGTGTCTCAAAGGTCTTGTCTCCTCTCAGAAGTTATACTGATTGCACCTGAATCAACAGAATGCCATAAATGTGGGGCTGGGTGCGCACACATTCAGTGGATTTGCTGCCATGCCCCACATCTCCAGGCAGATTGAGTTCAATGACAGCTCTGCAATGCCCCAAGGACATTCCAAACCTCTTTGCTCCTCTCCAAAGAGCAGCAAGATACAGATTATTTTCTTTGGATCTCTGGAAAATATTTTCAGTCCCCTGAAGATTAATGGATTGGGGGCGGTCTAATGGGGAGAAGTCATGTTCCCATAAATGCCATTTTTCTCAAGAGATCCCATAATATCTGGAAACTCTCCTCAGACCATGAAATTGCCCAAGATTTTCCCCTTGGACTGCTGCAACCAAGAAGAGATATTGAGGCTGGATAATGCTGGCAAGTGGGAAATGAGTAATCTGGAGTGACAATGACCCTGAGCATTGGCAAGATGCATTGCAAGAGCTCTGTGTTAGCCGTAAAGTAACAGGACATGGGGAGACACATAACGCAGTGCGTTAAGGGGAGATATCCCCTCTTGAGTATCCAGAGCACGAGTAGCAAAGGGACAGATTAAATCAGATTTAATCCCCAGTTCTGTGAGGCCAAAGGGCTGATTTTCCCAGGACATGGTAGCGTATGGCCTAGACCAAACTCAGCTGACATCCCAGTGGAGATAAATATCTCACCTGCACTTGAGCATCATCCCAGTGGTCCATCTTCAGGGATTTGACTTTGCTGATGCTAGGGATGTTGCGGTGAATTCCCGAGCAGCTGAGGCATATGAAGACACCCAAAGTAGAGGATGCCCAGTCAGGATCTGAGGGTATAAAAAAGGGTATGACTAGGGTTGGTAAATTTCCCTGGGAGATAGGCCTCAACTGAGAACATAGTTCAGAGAACAGAGAGCTGGGTGACCACAGTTTCATCTGAGCTGATTAATTAACACCCAAGGTGCAGTCAGGAAAAAGCATAGCTATTAGTCCCTCGTTTCCCCTGCTATAACCACCTCATCTGAATCTCTATTGACTCTTGACTATTGAATCTTGAAAAACTCCCGAAGTGCTCTGCAAACTCTCTTTGTATAAAAGGTCACCCAAGATGAAGCTGAAACCCCCTCTGGGAAAAGACTCCAGGAGCTCTTCAGTGCGACACACCAAAACCCGCAACAGTACTTAGCTCAAGAAGTGAAAACCAGCCGTGAATCCTAAACTTTCCAGGGAGAATTTAAGAAGGTAAAATGGTACTAATTAACGTAGTCTTAATTTGGCTTGAGTGGTACACTCCAGATGACCCTTTTGGGAAGAGTTCAATGGGTATATATAAGCAGCACTTGCAGGACCTCAAACTAGGTACCCTTTCGAGAGGGCAAGCCCTTCAGGAAAAGAAATCTCTGAAACACCCATGGCAGGTTGTCAGCTCAGAGCTGAGTCACGGTGGAGACAATGCCCTCCTGAATCATGCCTTTCTTTTGGAGCAGTTAGGATTTCACCAGGAGCTTTCCTGTCAGGTCCTGACTGGGCACGACCTTGATTTGTGTGTGAGATCCGACGTGACTACAACCCACAGTGCTGCAGCGACGCAGCCCCTGCTCATCCAGCACCACCACATCCCCATCCTTCTTTCCACCAGCACTGTGGCAGCATCTCCTTCCTCCTCCCTTACCAACTCACCTCTAGGGAGAGGATGCAAATACCCAGACGGAGCAAAGCCTCTCCTCCCTCTCTGCCCCAGGCTCCTGGGCAGTCAGATGCCAGCACCACAGAGCTGCTAGAGATCAGCCCCAGCTCCCTGCTTCCAACTTTTCCTCCAGCAGCCCTTGGGGACTCACCTGGCTTCCCACAGTCTGCGCACAAGGAGTTTTCTGGTCTTCTCCACACCTCCTTCAGGGCCTTCATGCTCCTCTCCTTGCCTCCAGCCATCACATCCAAATGCAATCCCTCCAAGCAGAGCAGGGCCAGGAGGGCAGCTTCCTGCACCTTCTGCACCTGTGGGCCAACCTTCTGGGTTGCCCAAGGGAGGCGTAGCCACCAGAGAGCCAGAAGCTCTTGCAGGCAGAGGAGAAACGGGAAGGCAGGAGAAGCCGTAAGGTTAATGAAAGGAGCGTGGAGGCCCGAAGGCACACCTGAGCCGGTTGAGCGCAGGCAGGGACGAAGAGGCTAGAGGCTGAAGTGCACCCAGACTGCGAGTGAGGAGGAGGAGGAGGAGACCTGCCCCATGGGCGTGGAGGGAAGTGCAGCTATTAACCACAGAACTGGTTTTTCCGCATTTCTGCTGGTGAAAGGACAGGCCAGGAAAAGAGCACAAGCACCAAGGAAGCTGATAAAGGCAAAGTGGCTCTGTACATACGAGCGGCCACCAGACCATGTCAGGACTCGTCACACTCTGTGGGCTGGAGGGTTTGGCTTTAGCTGCCCCACTGGAGCTTCCACCATAGTCAGCTGGCCATCATGCAAGCATTACACCCATTTTTAGGGGGAGGACTGGAGGGCAAGAGTTCAGCCAAAGTTACTCAGGCCAGCAGCCAAGAACAGGGCCGTCCAGATGCCCCCACCTACTCATGCTGGTACATCTCCCTACCACTGGCTACAGAAACCACAGCTGTCCATCCAGGTCCTGCATCTTGGAGACTCCATATCAGAGCCCAGACCACCCCCTGCACTTGCCTCCCCCAGCTAAAAGGAGCAGCACAGGCACCACTGACACCAAGCAATGATGATAGCTTGAAATGAACTCTCAGACCTTTACTGAAGAAATGTGCACGTCAGATATTTGGAGGAGTTACTTTTATTAAAGAGATGCAGATGTAAAATATTCAGAGTAGCAGAGCAGGTATCAAGGTGACAGATCGGGTGCTATGCTGGCCAGATGAGGCAGTGCTGTAAGAGTGCTAGGAGGGAGCTGAATTGGACCCGGAGCTGGAAGCACCCAAGCCTGAAGAAACCCCTTGGTTCACCCCAGGCTAGGGACAGGGCCAAGAACTGACACCTGGGAAGTATCTGCTGGTGGCTTCTCTCTCCCGCCCCAGCCTAGGGGGAGACAACGCACCATGAACAAGCAGGGGGACTCACACAGGTCCCACACACCGGTGGCACAACAGGACCCGACTCCACCCCGCAATCAAGGCCCTGGCGTGCCCTCCCGCTCACCCCACA